CAAAAAAGAAATTATGATAAAAATCACCGGTTTATTGAATTTAATATTGGCGCCAAGGTTTTGTTATACCGCAAGAGACGTGTGCGAGGACTTAGCGAGAAATTGATCAATAATTTCTACGGGCCTTACGAARTTATTGAAAAATTTAATAACGCTTACACAATCAAAGACATCAATACTGGTCATACAACAAGAGCTAACATCAAGGATCTTAAGGAATACAATGAGATAGATCTGGATGACTATGAAATATGGCAAAATGATGACAATACAGCATTTGATGACCTCGAGAACATTGATGAGACAATTCAATTAACCACAACAAATAATTAATTATAACCGCTAACTCGTATATATTTCTTTATGGTATAATGGTTTTATTAGGTGATGTCAATTATTTATGGGAATGCCTTAACTGCGGTCCGCTATGGGAAATGCTGCGGTCCGGATTTACACGAAAACGGGTGGTCAGATCTTGCGGTCCTTAATAGAAAAGTTGTAGATAATTAAAAGTTGGTCTAGGGTTCCGATAGGTAAAAAATTATCCGACCACCAGGGGGCGCACAAAAAAATTAAAACATGTATTTTTTGTATAGAAAAAGCTGCGGTCCGGATTTTCACGAAAACGGGTGGTCAGATCTTGCGGTCCTTAATAGAAAAGTTGTAGATAATTAAAAGTTGGTCTAGGGTTCCGATAAGTAAAAAATTATCCGACCACCAGGAGGCGCACAAAAAAATAAAACGTGTATTTTTTTTATAGAAAATGCTGCGGTCCCGTTTTACCCGAAAACGGGTGGTCAAATCTTGCGGTCCTTAATAGAAAAGTTGTAGATAATTAAAAGTTGGTCTAGGGTTCCGATAGGTAAAAAATTATCCGACCACCAGGGGGCGCACAAAAAAATTAAAACATGTATTTTTTGTATAGAAAAAGCTGCGGTCCGAATTTTCACGAAAACGGGTGGTCAGATCTTGCGGTCCTTAATAGAAAAGTTGTAGATAATTAAAAGTTGGTCTAGGGTTCCGATAAGTAAAAAATTATCCGACCACCAGGAGGCGCACAAAAAAAATAAAACGTGTATTTTTTTATAGAAAATGCTGCGGTCCCGTTTTACCCGAAAACGGGTGGTCAAATCTTGCGGTCCTTAATAGAAAAGTTGTAGATAATTAAAAGTTGGTCTAGGGTTCCGATAAGTAAAAAATTATCCGACCACCAGGGGGCGCACAAAAAAATTAAAAAATATTTTTTTATTGAAAATTGTCTGTTTATAATATTGTTTAATGTTATATTATGTTATTATAATATTATTTATTAAATATTATAATTTAACCATATGTAGCAAAAAATAATAATTAAAAAATAAATAGTATTTTACAATGAATATTATATCATTTTTTTAATTTACTTTGTTTACTTGTATTAATTCATTTGATATTGTTAGTAATAACATAATTATATTTGAACAAGATTCAAATATAGTGTTTACAAATAGTATAATATTTTTTATTAATTAATTTAGCTGTGATAATTTATACAATATACGATTTATTTTAGAATTATTAAAAAATGATTTATAAAAAACTATTTTATTTTATTTTTATGTACAATTTATTTGCATTGTAAAGTTGGAAGTAAAATTGTAATAATATTTATTTATGTAAAAAGTAATTAAATTAATATTTTGTTTAACATATGGTTAAATTTATATAATATTTTAAAACAATATAAACAATATGTACAGCAATTAAGAATGTAAAAAATTATATTTGTGATTAATTACTGTACAATTATCTGGTTTAATAATTTAATTATTTAATATCAAAAATTATCCTCTTTAAAATGTGACTAATCATTTTTTAATAAATTAGGATCGCTATAAAAAATTTTTGTGTGCCACATGGTGGTCATAAAATTTTTTATTTAATATAATCTCATACCAATTTTTCTACAACTTTGCTATTGTGGACCGCAAGAACTGATCACGTTTTCGGGTAATACGGGACCGCAGCTTTTTCTATACTTATCAAACATGTTTTATTTTTTATGGGTCCCCTGGTGGTCGGATAATTTTTTACTTATTGAAACCCTAGACCAACTTTTTGTCCTCTACAACTTTTCTATTGAGGACCGCAAGATCTGACCACCCGTTTTCACGCAAAACGGGACCGCAGCTTTTTCTATACAAAAAATACGTTTTAATTTTTTTGTGCGCCCCCTGGTGGTCGGATAATTTTTTACTTATCGGAACCCTAGACCAACTTTTAATTATCTACAACTTTTCTATTAAGGACCGCAAGATCTGACCACCCGTTTTCGTGTAAATCCGGACCGCAGCATTTCCCATAGCGGACCGCAGTTAAGGCATTCCCATTATTTATAAAACAATTATGTATACAATTTTAAAATGATTTTTTACCGCGGAGTTTTTGTCGACAAGTTAGTCGATGTTGGACCGGTATTGTTTCAGCAGTGACGAGTCCCCGTATGAGTGAGGGGTTGTCTAGTGCTTCCATATAATCTTACATATCCGGAAAAGTTAAGATTTTATGTAACCATTTAGACGATAAAACAACACGTATATTCCGTACCTTATCTACTTGTGGACAAATAATGGAAACATGGATGGATTAAGGACTGGCTCTCAACCAGAAAGAATATGCCGGTTGACTCTCACACAATTCATATGTGCCAGGTGACAGTAATTCATTGGCTGATTCAATGGTCTGTTTTATATAATTATGGTTTTTAATTATGTAATGATTTTATTATTTATGTAACTGAATAATTAATTTTAATTTAATTTTGAACTCATGTTATTAATTGTTTGTATGTAACAAATTAATTGTAAGACAACCACTGGTTTGTGATTGTAAGACAATATTAGATATAACCTTTCGCTTGTGAGGACACAAGCCTTTTTCGAAAAGGGGAGGGATAATGTAGCGGAATAATAATAGATCACTTAAAACAATAGTAAATGTACTCAAATTATATATTTATTACAAATTATGTATTGCATAGTTGTATGTTTTGACAGCAGTGTTAAATACATAGTAATATATGAGATTTGTATTCCCATTGAAATAACATTAACGGCATATTTAGTAATAGAAAACGCAGGTTTAGTATACCCATAGAAAATACATAAGCGGCACATTTACTATTATAATTATGCCATAGAAATAACATTAGCTATACTTTAACATACAAACATATAGGTTTAGTTTGTGACACGTATAGTGTCAGTAAATGTAGTGACGCACTTGCGTTTCAGTGAATACTATTTAACCATTGGTTTAAACATTTTATATACAGGGGTTAACAAGGGTTTTTGTTTCATATACTTTAACATTAATGAATTAATTAATTTCTAAGCGCACTTGTGTATTGTATTTTAATGCAAATGAGAATTTGCCTTTAGGTGGTAGTGTGCGACTGATCAAAAATAGGCAGAGTTTGAATTAACCAATAAGAGCAAAGTAGTAGTATATGTAAAAGTTGTCATCAAATATGAATGCAGAGTTTAACAGTTTGCGCGCGCAATAGGCAGTGGCTTATGCAGCGATCAGACTGCTGAGCTCTCAGTCGAGCGAAATGCTCGACACAAGTTGTCTTACACTCGAACTGGTCGGTTGCCRTCACTCCGCTGCGTAATACACTATAGTGTATTACATTACAATGTATTAGTTTTATTATATGTGTTAATAATAAACTCGGTTTTGGTTATAAGTCCCGAGTAAGTCATTTGGGCCTTTGGCCCGTACTTTCTCTTCTCTCTCTATCTCTCTCTTACTTTCTCTCTTCATTTCATCTACGGGCTCTCTTGCCGTGTCAGTCTCGTGTTCCCTTCCCGTGTCCAACACCATCACCTCAACACTGGCCTACAGCACCGGACAGCTCATTGGCCAACACAGCACCGCTTAGCTCATTGGCCGACAACACCACTTAGCTCATTGGCTCATCACAACCGTCACCGCTCAACGCCAGATCAATAACGTGGTCGCATATGTCCTCAACAACATAGGTGTTGGTGCCAACTCATCTCTAGGACCGACAACACTTTGGTGCCGATAACGTCGAGTCAGCACCGAACACCTTAAGCAACCTATCCAACCGTTTCAATATATCAAAGTTTTTGTTTGAAACAAATCAATTAATTAATCAATATATGTCATTAGTATTTACAACTATATTATTATTTATGATATATAATGTGGGTTTTATAAAATTTCTAATATATGGTTTGCATAATATAGTAATTTTTATCATATTTATAAAACACACTTATGCTATCTATACCTGGAATGTCATCTATTTTTATTTATTATGTTTTATCTAAATATAAGATTAAAAACTTTAAATAAATCAATTTTTGTCAATTATAATAATAATAGACAATTACAATCTAAAAAATTATTAAATTCATTCAAACAAACAAACTAATAATACAGTATAATAATTTTAAATTATAATTTATAGTTATTTATTATATTAATTTTTTTAAAAAAGTAGTCAATTTTAGTAAATTTTAATTTTTTGTCATTAAAAATAACAGATTATTTATATATATATATATATCTATCAGTATATTCTTGTACTTTAAACTAATTCTATATAATATTAATAATAAAATCTAATAATTAATAATAATATTGAATATTAATTAGCAATCAATTATAATTAAATTGTTTTTTTTAAAAACAAATTTTATATTATCCATAAATTTATACTGGATTTATATCATTGCCATCGCCATCGCTACCACCATCACGACTGTCCTCGTCATCATTATAGTCATCGTCTTTTTTGTCGACATCGTCTTCATCGTCATCATCATCATCATCATCACCACCGACGACACGACTGTCCTCTTCAGACTCGGCCGACGATGACGAACGACTATTATCGCCAGTGTTGACGTCGTTGATGTCGAGACCGGACTCTCCTTTTTCGCGCTGTGCCGGCACTGTCATTATGGGTCGGGCATATCCTGGAGGGCCGGCTAAACCACTAGAATGCGACAATCCCGGCAAAGCAGCCAATCCACCGTTAGTATAGCGAATCCACTACTACTACTACTACTACTACTACCGCCGGTCAACGGTTCGTATGTTCGGCGCCATTGTTCACTAACTGAATCCCATTGGTCAACAATTCGCATACCGTTTTGTTCAAATACCCGTCGATCCCAACCGCGACCTTTGGTCGGCACATCCGGCGGCGGTGTCCTGGGTGGATGATTTTCCCCACAGTATGGCCTTTCTTTGCTTGGAATCAACTGTACTTGATAATTTATACATACAAATTAAGCCTTAATTATACAATATATATACTGAAATATGATGATTATTATTACAATATTATTATCTATACTAGAAATAGTATCTAAGTTGTCTCTATATTAACACTATCAATAACAGTTTTATTAAATGTTTTTTAAGTTATATTACTATAAATGTATTATTATATTGGATGTAATACACATTAATGTATTTTACTATATAGATAACATAAATTAAGTTAATTTACTGTAAATATAATACAATATAATAATAATACATTTACATTAATATAACTTAACAAACAACTAAATATATAAATAATATCAATATTATTATTATTATTATATAATAAACATACCAATGTTATGTTGTACGAGAAACTCGTGGTCAGCCTTGAGCACCGGCTGATATAACTGAGCCCCTTTGACACTTGACATTGATCCGACTGCCCATGGTTGTAGCATGTTCAACCGTAAGTATACCTCCCGAAAGTTGCTAATATCGCGCTAATTACGTGGCACACCACCAATCACATAATAGCCCTCAAGTTTGAGTGCATCGATAAGCCTGATCAGACCGGCCGTATCTTTCGGTCGATTAGTAAATCCCAGTCCCCACATACATACAACAGGCCGACCGTTTTGGTGGGCATAGGCACTGGAGTTGAATACACCCAACGGTTTCAGATTTACGGTCAAATCATCGGGTATTTCCGATTCAAACTTATCCCAACCCGATATGTCCCACATTATATAGAACTTGCGGTCATAATGTTCGGCACTGGCCATCACTTTACCGGCCATACCGTTAAGCCGTTGTCTAAACATTTAAAAAAAAATTTTTATTTTTTGTTTAACTAAAAATCAAATGTATTTTTTCTAAAAATATCTATAAATATATTTTCAGTTACAAATAGTAATAAATTTAATTATATGTGTATTTTAATTATTATGCATCTATTTTTTGATATTGTTTATTTCCTGAAAAGAGGGCAGGCCCTGTGCAAAAATTTTTAAACTAATGCTCATTTAAATCATCTACTCTACACGGTAATCTTTAGTAAAAAAATCATCTAAACTTTAATTTATATAAAAATATAAAGTAATAATAAAAAGTATCTGCTTTATTATAATATAAAAAATTGTTTAATTTAATTAATTATATTTAAATTAATAACAACATTAATGAAACAAATTTAAACTCAATTTTTTATATATTTAAATTAAATTATTAAAATTATATATTTATATATAAAAAATAAAATATTTATTATTATTTTATTATCCTTTATATACTATTAAAAATAAAATTTTAAGTGTTTTTTTTGTTTGTTTGTTGAATCAATAACGATAAGATGAAAATAATATTTAATATTATTAATTTTGTTGTTATTATTGTCTGGTTTAAGGTCAGGGCTAAACATATATAATAAATAGATAAATACTATAGTAATATAATTAGAAAAAATATATATCTAATGTAACAGTATTTCAATAAATAGTTAATTAAAAAAATAAAATAAATAAATAAATATAGTAAGAGTTTTTTTTGTTTTGTTAAATGATTTTATAGATAATATATATACATATAAATAATATATATTATACAGTAAATTAAATAATGTCATAAAAATATAAAGTGCAGTTTATTTTTCTTAATAGAAAATAAATATAAATTCAAAACAACTATTTGCTGCTATATTTAATTACAAAAATGTGAACTAAATTATTAGACATTACAATAATTATGTTATTATAAAAAAAATCACACATAAAACAATTTAATGAGTCATTAATATATAATATTTCACAAAAAATATAAAATTACATCTAAATAGTGTGAATTAATTTATTTAGTGAAATATATATACTGTATATTAGTTTTTAAAAAAATTATTAAAAGGTAATAACAAATACATGTATAATTTATTCAACAAAAAAAACAATATAAACTAATTAGAAAAAAATTATTTATTATTATTAACTGATTGACACGAAATTTTTTTTAAAAAATTAAATATCATATTAAATATTTTTAGCACACCATTGTTGTACAATCGACTGTACCGAGGATGGCAACTATGAGCACCCGGATGACAAACACTCCTATATTATGTGCTACAATAACAGGGCAGTCCTACAGCGTTGTCATCTATCCAGGGATAACGTATCGCTGACAGTGTTCAACACTGATCGTCGCCAATGTATCGAACCGTTCAAATGTCCGCAAAGTTCTGGCCAATACAGACACTATTTCAGTGACGCCTATTACTACCGGTGCCATAATTGGCTACCAGTTTTGCATCACTGTCCCGCTGATCATATCTACGACGGTGTCGACCGATGTGTACCCTATTTCCAGTGTCCAGAACTCGGAGGCAACTATCTGTTTCCTGGTAAACCTGACCAATATTTTGAATGCTGCTACGGACGGGCCACTCGGCGCCAGTGTCCATCGGGTGAGCTGTTTGACGGTAAACAATGTGAACCCGGATACAAGTGTCCGCATCCGATGGGACGCTATCCACATCCCGTCTATAAGAACCAGTACTACGAATGCAAGTACTGGGAATCCAAATTACATACCTGTTCAGAGGGTACGGTATTCGATGGTAAGTATGCCTGCATTGTTGGCACACATCAGCGAACAGGCAGCTCATCGGGACGTTCAGCCAGCTATACTGCTAGCCAACGACGCCACTATACTACTAGCCAACGACGCCACTATACTACTAACCAACGGCGCCACAATACAGTGGTCAGGACTGTACGAACTGAGCGGGTGCCACAATCACCAGCAGCTGCATCGGCATCATCATCGCATACTGAATTTCAATGTCCGCGATCGTGGGGCAACTATCCGTGTCCGTATGACTCGACCCAGTACTACCAGTGCCAGTATAATCGACCGAATTTGCGTAGTTGTCCGCGACGACAAGTATTCGACGGCTCCCGATGTTCGGATACGTTTGTTTGTCCGCGACTGGACGGCTGGTTTAGGCATCCGACCCGAGAGAACCAATACTACCAGTGCGTCAATGGGCAGCCGTGTCGGCATGATTGTCCACCGGGAGAAGTTTTTGATGGTCATCGCGGTTGTCGCCGACCTTACATACCACCGACAATCGAGTTTCGGTGTCCAAAAAGCGAGGGACTGTTTCCGAGTACGACCAGTAATACCCAATTCTATCAGTGTATCAATATGGTTGCAACACTGCATACCTGTCCTCATAATACTTATTTCAATGGCCACTCGTGTGTCTGCTATCCAAGCAAAGAAAGGCCATACTGTGGGGAAAATCATCCACCCAGGACACCGCCGCCGGATGTGCCGACCAAAGGTCGCGGTTGGGATCGACGGGTATTTGAACAAAACGGTATGCGAATTGTTGACCAATGGGATTCAGTTAGTGAACAATGGCGCCGAACATACGAACCGTTGACCGGCGGTAGTAGTAGTAGTAGTAGTAGTAGTGGATTCAGCTATACTAACGGTGGATTGGCTGCTTTGCCGGGATTGTCGCATTCTAGTGGTTTAGCCGGCCCTCCAGGATATGCCCGACCCATAATGACAGTGCCGGCACAGCGCGAAAAAGGAGAGTCCGGTCTCGACATCAACGACGTCAACACTGGCGATAATAGTCGTTCGTCATCGTCGGCCGAGTCTGAAGAGGACAGTCGTGTCGTCGGTGGTGATGATGATGATGATGATGACGATGAAGACGATGTCGACAAAAAAGACGATGACTATAATGATGACGAGGACAGTCGTGATGGTGGTAGCGATGGCGATGGCAATGATATAAATCCAGTATAAATTTATGGATAATATAAAATTTGTTTTTAAAAAAAACAATTTAATTATAATTGATTGCTAATTAATATTCAATATTATTATTAATTATTAGATTTTATTATTAATATTATATAGAATTAGTTTAAAGTACAAGAATATACTGATAGATATATATATATATAAATAATCTGTTATTTTTAATGACAAAAAATTAAAATTTACTAAAATTGACTACTTTTTAAAAAAATTAATATAATAAATAACTATAAATTATAATTTAAAATTATTATACTGTATTATTAGTTTGTTTGTTTGAATGAATTTAATAATTTTTTAGATTGTAATTGTCTATTATTATTATAATTGACAAAAATTGATTTATTTAAAGTTTTTAATCTTATATTTAGATAAAACATAATAAATAAAAATAGATGACATTCCAGGTATAGATAGCATAAGTGTGTTTTATAAATATGATAAAAATTACTATATTATGCAAACCATATATTAGAAATTTTATAAAACCCACATTATATATCATAAATAATAATATAGTTGTAAATACTAATGACATATATTGATTAATTAATTGATTTGTTTCAAACAAAAACTTTGATATATTTATAAACTTTATCAGTGTTTGAGTGTCAATGAGTCCAACACTACTGGGTGTCCGCAAACCAGACAGCATATCAAATACTGATAAAAATTTTGGCGAAATACCCGCGAAATAGTTATAGTAATAAATACTATAAATGATTAAACATAACACATATAATAGTATTGTTATAATTCTAATGATTTCAACATTTTTACCAAAATAATAGTCACTATCGCATAGAAATATATGCCATTCGCTAGAAATGTCTAGTTTTCTAGCAATCAATAGCCATATATTTCTTATAATAAAATATAATAATATCATTGGATTCAGGAGTGGATGTGAAGTCCAGTGTCGTCGTCGTCCCGGAGTTGGTATTAGCGATGGTTTCAAACACAAACCAATTGTATATAACTGACTGCACGCGCAAACAACACGTAGTTTTGGTGGCAATACTTGATTTAAATTTATAAATAATTTACTCATATTTTTTTAATTATTATTATATTTGTTGTTTATATAATAATAGTTTAAAATATTATAGACTAATATACAATATATAATAATTTAAACTATTTATTATAAAATTCTACTAAAGTATATTATTTTAATTTATTTTAAATAAACTATTTCAGTAATAAACTATTCAACAACAAAAAAATATTTAATTATGAAATTTAACATTTACTTATAATAATAATAATAAATTATTTTTCTACATAAACAATAATAATTTCATATTATTAATATTATTTTATGCTTATTTTTAATGTTTATTTTTAATGTTTATTTTATTATATTATTTGACGTAAATAACAAAAATAATTGTTTTTTTTAATTCTTAATTATCTTGATTTTATTGACCAATATTTATATTATATCAAGTTTTTTATAATATAGAAATCATTAGTTTATTAATTGTATAAAAATGTAATATTTATAACGTTATAAATATAGTTATTTATTGCAATCAATGTAATTATTAACATAAATTTTATATCTATCTATAAATATAATATAATTAAAATATTTTTTTAAAAATAATTAACAAAATAAAAATTACATAAATATATACAGTATATTATATAAGTAAAATTATAGAAAAAAAAACTAAAAATATGCTAGAAATATTATATTATATTTATATTTATATAAAATTATGATAACAAATAAAAAAATATTTAAAATTTATTTTATTAAAAAATAAATATTTTATATTAATTAATTGTTTTATACTAAACATATTAAATATTTAAGTTGTAATGCATACTTACAGTGCATGCAAACAGTAAATGTTATTTTTATTGTTTAAAAAATTAAATTATATTTCTCACGAGTTATTATTATTATTTTAAATTAGTATTAAATTCAAATTGATTATTACAATCAAACTGTTTGTCACACAAAAAAAAGTAATCAATCAATTCATATAACCAGAGAAACACATCCAACGATAATGTCATCGGAAATGGATAACAACGACAACGACAACGACAACACCGCTAATGTTGTATACAAGACACGAGTGGTGTTCAGAGTGATGGACATGAAAAACATATTGTCTGTTAATAATGGTTTTACTATTCATAGCAAAAAACTAAACATTGGATCAGATGAATGGTTTTGTAGTATTAGTTTTACTAATAAAATGGTAAAACTAAATCTTCAAGTGATTCCAAGTTTTGAACATCAATTGTCATTTGAAGCTGAATACGTAATGTATATCATTGACGACAATAACCAATTGTTTTTCAAAAAACAAATTAATTATGACTTTGATTGGCGCTATCATTACAATAAGTCTGATATTTGTTCAGTAAAAGAGTTGTCGGATAATAAGGACCGACTATTGGCTAATAATATCCTAACCGTTGGTTTCGATATAACAGTTTACAGGGAAATCAATTGCCGAGAAAATTCTGTCCCAAAACCCAATCGTTTCGGAAGAAAATCGGAAGACATTACCAAAGATTGTCGATTAGTTGTCGGCAAAGAAGATCAGAAAGAGTTTTTCGTCTCAAAACTGTTTCTCAGTTCAAAGTCGGATGTCTTCGATAGGATGTTTACCACAGATTTTATTGAAAAGAAAAACAACGAAGTGATCATCGATGACATTGATAGCGATGTCTTCGAGCAGTTCCTACAGTATCTCTACACTGGAAACTGTGATAAATTGTATGAAATGTTGGATGAATTGCTATACGTTGCCGACAAATATATGGTATCTTCGCTGAAGACTATTTGTTTGAATTTGATTTTTTTGAAAATCAATGGTAAAAATGCTTTCCAAACAATACGACAATTGAAAGACTTTGGTGCCGATAGTGAACTCATGATTATGGCCAACAAATGGATCGGAGAGAACATCCCTTCAGTGGTTAATCAAGAAATTCTCAAACACTATACCATTGATTCAGATGATTTGTGGCTAATTTTACATTATTTAGGAAATCAATTGAGTCCAAGACAATCACATTTACTTTATTATACATACAGTTATAATAATTAAGTTAGATTTTCTTTGTATCGATATTTTCATTTAGTATTATATAAAAAAAACAAGTATTTTATTTGTTTTTTACTATTCAATTATTAGAAAATTTGTATGTATTTTAACAAAAATATTTTTTAGTTATCTATTATATTATTGTATTTCAGTATTACTGTCAAAATTAACATTCAATGATTTACATTAAACATTTCTATTTAAATTTGTATTTCACTTTTGTATTTAATTACATTATGAAAATTAATTTGATAATCGCGTCATAGATTACTGTTTGGCACCGAGAGAATAAACTCTTTATGTTTCAAAACATTTGTTTATGATCAATTGAGGTGTAGGATTATTACTCATTTGTTGAATTGTCCGCTGATGTCATTCGATCGCTAACCAAGTCGTAGATGAGTTCAGTCCAGGCGTCGAGAAACTCCTTGGCTTCTTTGAATCCGTGATCGAGAGCTCTATGGTTCGGCGCTTTGGGCATGGCCGTTCCCATCTATGCTGTCACTGACCAGATAAGTTCTTTATGGTACATCCTGTTTTTGACTAAAATATTTCAAATGAGTTCAAACAATTTGTCAATGATAAGCATTGTTTCCAAGTGTCCAAAACACTTTCTGGAATTCTTCAGAAAATGTATCCTCTATTTGTTGCAATACACTGTCGACAATACGGCTGACGGGCTGTAGGTTTATTAGATACTTTTTCCGAATAGTCATATAGTTATCTATTTAAACTCTTAAAGCGCTTCATGGAAAATTTTCTCCAAAAAAATTCCAGTTTGATTTTGCGATCATTGGCACGACTCAAAGACATTTTCCCATCTTTGACGAATATTTTATTTTTGTTGCAAAAATTAATTGTTTACTAAATTCAGTTGGCGCCGAACAGTCGATAATTCAAGTGTTTTGTTTAACACTGACTCAACAAGTTAGGTCGGGTAGCTTAATAATTAGTTATAATTCAATTATAAACGATTCAATTGCTCTCTTGCTGTCTCTGTAGGCCTCTACTGGTTTACGAGTTACATTATTATCGACATCATTAAGCCAGGCCAACAAATTCTGAATTTCTTGATCAAACCCTGTTTGTCTCTGAGTCATCTTCTATCTCGTTGTCTTTGGTGAGCGATAAAGTTGTTCCCATCGATAACAGTTCAATTCTTCAAGCTTTCGTTTAGCGCTTCGGTGGTCTCAGTGTGATGGACTCTAAGCCAACATTTGTTTGACCTTGCGATGAATGAGCCTTGCCCAGTGAGTCTAGACTTGACTGATGAGCAGAATGTCATTCATTAGCACTTAATGTTTAGCCAATTCTACTTCAATGACCGGCGGATCTCCGAAAACATATCTCATTTCGTCGAACAATTAATCAGTTTATTATCCATTGAAGGAAGTCATTGATTGCGTGTTGGAATTGACCCAATCAATTAGTTTGCATTATCCAAATCAGTTTATCTGTCGTTAATGTTTTTCAAGAGCTATACCGTCTACTATATATTAATTTTATTGACTGGTCCTTTGATGGCAACTTCTTGCCTGATCAGGTGATACATCTTCAAGAAGTTCGTGGGCGGCTCTATTAAGTGCTTCGATCTCAACCATATGTTGATTGACTTCGTGTTGGAATTCTTTAAGCTCCCGTTGTTGTCTCTTTACTGATCGATATCACCAGCAATTGGTCCCAAAGACTCATATTTGTGCTCTGCTTTGTCCAAAAAGTTTTGAGTAAATTGCGGAGCATTTCGTGAAAATTCACCACTTTATGAATAGCATCGATGATTCTTCGATCGCGTTTGGCATAAAGCGAGGTTCACATTATCCCAAGCATTGTCTAAGTCATCCAAATGTTTCTGAACTTCTGGTTTGTCGGGTTCACCACATAGTTTAATATCAAAAGATCGCGACCGGTTTGTTTGCAATGATCTGACCTTTGGTTTGGAAAATCAATGTCGTGTTTGATTTCTTTCAATTGGTGTTGTTGTTGTTTGATTTCATTTGGTTCAGTAGCAAATGGTTCCTGATTGTTGAGAGTATCCTGAAGATCGTAAATAGCTTTCATTACATTATTCAATTCATTCCAGAATTTTTCGGCCACTTTAAGCGCATCATTAAGTGAATGATCTCTATTTTTTGAATTTTACTGGACCTCATCCCATAAGTCATTCTGTTTATCTAATTTCTTGCGAATGTCTCTGATGGCCGGTTCATTTCTTACCAGCTTTACTGATGACATCGCGTGCGGCAGATTTAAGAGCTTCTACAGCACCAGCTTTTTTGTCTAAATCGTTAATAATGGCATTGTTATCAACAATCTGTTCCCTTCTTCTATCGTGATGTGCAGCAATGGGTTCGGTCTTCTCAATTGGTCGGCCGTATTATTATTCAATGCATTCAACATTCCGTCCGATTTGTCGGCAAACTGTGAGTGTGCTTGAAGTGCGGCCTCGAGAAAATGTTGTAAATCTGATACGTTGAGTGCCATAAGTGAAAATGATCTCCTTTAGTGATCGTAGTTATCAGAGAGGGTGTAGACGTCTTGAGCTTAACAATATCGGCGCTCATCATAGTGATGTCATCACCGAAACATTAGGAATGTCTAAAGTAGGAGCACTCGGTGTAGTTGTTGCGACCGCTGTTGCACTGGTATTGTCTGGTCTTTGGTTTACTCAGATGACCGGTCAGAGCCAAGTTATATAGCTTTTATGCTTTCGTACAATATAATACAGAACACACTTGTATATTAAGAGCAGTACTTATGTTTTGAGAGTTGCTTTAGTTGTTGGAGTTGTTGGCACTAATATTCATCTCTTCTTTATAGATATAGCATATGTGGTCTTATTTCAGTTTTAAAAATAGCTACTATACTGACTCAAACTATGAAGACTCAAACACTATTAATAACAGTAAAAATGTTTTAAACTTTAAATTTTAAACAAATGTAAAGTTGAGCCAAAATTATTTATTTTAAGCACTAAAATAACTTTTGAAAATATTCGCTATTAATATATTATTTTTGAATATTTTATTTTAACTGAATTTTGGCTCATGATTTAAATTATTTAAAATAAACTATTATAATTATATGAAAAAAATAATTTTGCTTATATTTTCAAGTATTTATATTTTTATTTAGACTAATAAGCATTGAAAAAAATTTATGTTAACTGTTTATTATTTTTTTTTTTGTCTGTATTTTTCAATAAAAAACAGAAATAGTGCAAATACAAGTAATAAGCAAAATTAAGCATTTTATGCAAAAAAATATGATTACTATAATTTTAGTATTCAATTTTTTTTTGTTTTGTTTATTTAAGCAAAAAAAATGTTATTTTATTAGGCCATAGGTTTAAACTGTATACAAAAAAAAATATTAGCAAAATTCAAACTGGTTCTGATTATTAAAATAAATTAAATATTAAATTAGTTAAAAAAATTTGTATATTTCATTATATGAAATCTGTTAAGAAAAATTATTAATAAATTAATCAATACTTCTATCTAAAGATAAAACACTATTGAAGTTAAAAGAAAACGCTCGCTTAAGTTTCCATATATTCGTTTTTTTTCTAAATAGATTGTAATTAAAACATTGCAGTTCAAGGCATTGCTTCAAATAGTAAACACGGAGTCACCAAATGGACACTAATATGAAATCATTTGTTAATTAATAATTTGGGAAAATAATTTTATTATTTTAATACTTTAAATAAAAGTTTTATAATATAACGAGAAAATCATTTACTATGAAAAAACAAAATAAAATATCACTTACCATAATTTTCTTTTGGTTATATGTTATCAAATGTAAATTTGCGTTTTTTCCTCTTTGGACTTACCTGAAGTCGGAAAATGTCGAATGTGGTTTTATTGGGCATTTGGATCCCACTTCTGATAAAGCCGTCGACTTTATCGCCATCCCTGTCCTCTTCTGGTCAGGCGTCGTCGGCTTCTTCTCCATTGATACTTCACTCGTCCTGTCGTCGTCGTCAGAGACCTCTCCCTATCGGGCGGTCGTCCAACCAATTTCCAGTCGTAGTTTCGGTTGCCAACACAATGAGCACACAATACTATTCACTCATAGGGCTATATTTATTTTAAACACAACTAAAACTCACAATTAAAAATACAACAATAAAGGTTATAGGTAATTTGATGGCAGCTGAAGACTGAGTTGTTACCATACATCTAGAAACTGTTCTGCTCTTCTCACTCCCCTCACTCTCTGGTTATACCCCACCAACAGCTGAGTTGTGCGCACCAACTCAACCGTTAGTCCAATTACAGTATGGGACGGAACTATCTGTCACATACCTTACCAAACATGTCTATAACTAACTAAACAGTGTACTGGTAGAAAACACGGTTACAATACATACAGTTATATTAATTAAATTAGATTTTCTTTGTATCGATATTTTCATTTAGTATTATTGATTAAAAACTAGTATTTTATTTGTTTTTTTACTATAAAGTTATTACAAAATTTGTATGTATTTTAACAAACAATATATTGTATTATTATTTCAGTATTACTGTCAAAATTAACATTCAATGATTTACATTAAACATTTGTAATTGAAAATTTGTATTTCACTTTTGCATTATATTTAATTATAGACTGAAAATTAGTTAAATAATAAACTTGTGCTTTTTTGAAACTATGTTTTTATACATATAGTTATTTGATTTAAAAAATTAAATATTAAAAATTTTGTCCTCAGAAAAAAAGTTGTTTTATTTATTAAACAAACAATTTAAACAATTAATATTTCAAAACTATTTAATTTCTACATATTTTATTTATTTAAAAAAATTAATTGTTTACATAATTAACTCATAATTTAGTGTTTTTTTAATTAACAAAAATAACAAGTTTATAATTATTAGTTTAATAATTAATTAAATACAATTATACATTGATTAACAAATTATTATAGTTTGATAAATGTTTGTTTAATTTGTTTTTTAAAGTAATATATTATTAATTAATTATTTATTTAATAC